TCCTGCTGAGCTGCTGTATCCTCATATTTCCTCTTCTGTAGGAACGCCTGCATCTCAGCAAGAGTCAAAGCTTGAACTTTTATCTGCAAAGGAAATGTCCAACAAAATACTTTCAAGAATTTGGTAAAGGTTCCTTAATCTGTTTAATAGCCAGGCTGGGATGAGTACTACAATGGTGGTGTATTATAAAAACATTTGAAAAAGATGCAGTGATGGAGAAGCTACATCTATGAATTGGAAAATCCTTGTTGATAAGTGCAATTAAAAAGGTAAGTCTGTAAAGGAACTATGAATGCTATGCTAAATTAACATTTCTAATATGAAATGGCTCTGCATACAGTAAGTAAAGGGAGGGGCAATGTTACGCTGTATTTCCAGTGAGCCTGTCCTCACGTTACCTTTTGTTCACTCTCTACTTTAGTTCTGCGGACAAGGCAAAACCTCTCCCAGATTGATGGGTTCAAGCCTTCTGGCATGTTGTCTGGAGTATCCAGCTCCTCCATGGCCTTCAGCATTTTACATAGTGTATCAGTAGCCAGAGAACCACACAGATGCTCCTCTTTAAATGGGTTGGAGTTGTTGTCAGTCTGGGTCCTCATCTTTTGAATCCTGAGGTGTAAAAACTATGTAGGAACTTATAACTCATGAAGTTGATATCAAATGATGCAAATGTCTACATAACGATTCATGTTTGTAATTATACTGCAAGATTAACAAACCTGGGTCTACGCTTGAATAGCTTATATAGATGATCAACCACATGGGCTGGAACATCAAAGAACTCCTTCCTGAATTCTTTGTCAAGAACCTTGGGGGAAACAGATAATATTTTATGTGCATAGCCATTTCAAATCAATTTCAGTATTTTGTCAGCAGTCTTACTTTATCCTCAGCTACAATGCTGTCATAGTTCTTGTGAGACAATTCTAGTTCTTCTTCATGCCTCTTCACCTCCTCCCCAATTTCATCCTGTCAGAGAAATACAAGTCAATTAGAGGAGGGCAGCATGTACGGGAAATAGTGACTGGTAGTCTTGAAGCCTAACAAATGAGCACAGGCTAGCTCTTGCAAAACATGCCTGGGAAGATGGTGAATTAGACTTTGGAAGAACAGCACAAAGCTTCACTCAGGTATCTCACAAAGAACAGAATCTGAAGCTGGCAGTAATAAATTCCTCCAGCATTACTGTGTGTGAGTTGTCTGACCTTGTATGCCAACGTTTTTTCAAGTTTGAGCTTGAGCTCCAGCTCTCGGTTTCTCATCTCCTCTTCTATGAGGACTGAGTAAACAAGATAAGTAATCCTGAGCTCTTCCTGTAAAATACATTAAAAATAACAGTACACAAGATTTTCTAAAGATGTCACATGCACAAGATATCATATCTCATAATTATGTTAAGGAGGAAACCACAGGGTCCTTCATCTTGTGGGGAAAATGAGACAAAGGCAACTAAACGAAGTGATGATGATGCAGACTGACTACATATGTCTGTGTTATGAGTCTGTCCATATGTCATATACTGTACATGTACTGCATATGTGTGTGCAGGCTCACCTGAGAAATAGCTATTTCACATTTCATTTTCTTCTCAAACAGTTTAGTCAAAATGTCATCAAACTTTTCAGTTGCACTCCTGGTGGATACCAGGAGCCTTTTCATTTCAGGTTCCAGTAACTGCGATTACAAAGTTTACAGATAATTTATACTGATCACTGATCAGACATTAATCTCATCAAAACAGAACTCTGAATATGTGTACTGCAATACCTTTTTGTATTTCTCCTTCTCCTCATTCAGTGTTTTGGTTTTCTTTTCAAACTCTTTATAGGCTTTTTTCTCTTCCTCACTCCACTGAATGTCAGGTTTGGTCAAAACAAAATCAGGTGGTGGTATTTCCTGTGGAGTAAATTCAACAAAAACTATATGCCCTTCATATTGATTTGTCTGTATATGTCAAGATTTTTGTTCTCATTCTTGCTTAAAAAAATTCCTAAAACAAGTGATTATCAAAATAGTTGCTGATTCACTTTGACTGATCTGCTGTTAAATTTATCTTCATTTATCGGATTTTTTTCTATTCATGCCTGATTTATTAAAATTTGACCACTAAGAGCAGTTTACATCTGCCTGGTTTCAACATTAACTGTTATCTGCGCTTCCAGGTATTTAAAAAATTGTATATTTCAAGCTGTCTCTAAAGTCTCTCAATCAAATGAGTATATATACTGTATGTAACACTAGAGAAAATACATGTACTATACAGGATATTTGTATGAAACAATATATCTGGAATTAATCTAATACAATATTAATGCTTTAACAAAAACATGAATATTTTGACCCACCATTTTCAAGATGTCGCCTTTTTTCACTTCAAGCACTCCATCCATCATGTCGGTGAGAGCCCTTTCTCTGAAATTTTCACCCTGCAACCGATTAACAAAAAGCTCATTAATATCACAGAACTGAGCTACATTTATATAATGTATACTGTAAATAAACATAAGACATTAATACAATTTCTTTGAACTGTTTAGTCTTACCGTTGTCAATAATAATCAAACTCAGTAACTGCATGTAAAAAATACATTTATTGTGGCAGCATACCTTGGCAGCCAAATGTCTTTGAGCTTCCAGCATTTTCCTCTCCTCCTCCCTTTTCTGTTCTAGGGTGAGGTGCTTTTCTGCTTTTATCTAGAGTGGGACAAAGGTGCATAGTTCTCTGGTAAACTGTGGAAAAGCATCCTATATGATAATTACAGCATGCTATTTCACATTCCGATAAAAAACACATACACACACACACAGAGTTGGAACTTTATTTGAACTTTGACAGCTATTTAGATATTTGATGAGAGAGACAGAAACCTCAGAGTCGTCCACAGTGAGCATCCTCTCTGGCCACTCGCTGTCGGTCAGGCTGGGCTCCCACAGCTTTTTGTCCATGTCCAGCTCCAGCATGATCTCCCTGATCTGTCTGTTTCTGTCCCTCACATGGTTGAGCTCCTGTACCTTTTTCCTGTGCACCGCCTCAAATTCAGTGTTAAACGCTGTCTTGATGCGATAGATCACATCCTGCAATTAGAGTTGAGTAAAATGTTTCACAAAAACAAAAATATTATTTATGATCACGATGATCTTGATGCGATAGATCACATCCTGCAAATAGAGTTGAGTAAAATGTTCCACAAAAACACAAATATTATTTATGATCACGATGGCCATAATCATGTATGACTGAGTTGACCATATATTTAAAGCAATTATTTTATGTGGACTTAATTTTATTAATTTTTTGTGCACTTACTTTTATCCATTTTTTGCTTAAGTGTGTTTTGGCCACAGTTTTATAAAATTACTGTATAATATAAAGGCATTATTGTACTTCTGATGAGAACTTTTTTTGCAATAGGTTCCCACCTGTAGCAGAATTATCTGGTTGATCCTCTGTTCTGTGGTTTGCAGGCTGAACTGATCGTAAACATAAGGATTTGAATATCCTAACTGAGCGGTGAAACTTCCTGTTACAGCAGCACTCTTCTCCTCATGGTCTTCCTTCCCCTGTTCTTCCACCTTCCCACTGGTGGTGTTGGAATTTTTCTCTTGGCTGCTCTGTTACAGTTGAAAGGTGGAGACAAATACTCTAAATGAGAGGACTGGCATAAACATTGAGGACTGAATCTGAGGCCATGAGATTATAAACTTTATCCCAAGAACATTGCTGGGAAGAGAATAATCATGACAACTTGCTTTTAGCTGAACGGCCATAAAAAAAGGTTTCAACACTGGTGGACTGGCACGTGTTCAAGCATTTAAAAGAGTTAAAATGCTGAAAGGTCAGATGAAGGACTGGGATTCAAAGCTTAAAATTATTCTCCAGCAGAAAACGTGTTTTTACTTGAATGGTTTTTATTCACTGGAAATGTATTTCCAGAGGATAAAAAAAAAAAACAATTTAATTTACACTGTCAATTTACACTGTCCCACATTTAAAAAAAATAGTAGAACTTTTGATACATCGTTTGCTGTTTGCTCAGTTTCACATTAGAACATACAGTAAACATATCTAATTCATTCTAATTCATCATATCTGCTTTTCTCTGCAGTGTTAATCAGAATATAAACCACAGACTCTTCAGGCCTGTAGATTAGTTTTGCTTACAGTGCAGACAGCCTCTTCCAACTTCCTCATATTTTGAACCCTGCGAAGGTCCTCCACCTCTTTTACTGTTCGCTCTTTCAGGGGGTAGTTCTTTACTTCACGTTCAGAGTGAAAAGCCTGTGGCAGACAAGCAGAGGTGATTTAGAATAATAATGTAGAGCTCATATCATACTCTGCTAATTAATGCTGTAACAACTGTTTTACATATCAGTGCTTGTTCCTCATCTTACCTTAATGGCCCTGCCTTTGAACTTCATGGAATCCCAGCACTCTCTCTTCAGGATATCACGGAGGTAACATTTTGTTATAATCTCCCACTTGATTTCATTTCTCACCTACAACGTAACTGCATTAAGAATCTTTACCATCATGAACTAAAAGCAAAACCAGAGACTCATTGCTTCATGTCTTTGTGTGTGCATTACCTTAATAACTTCCTCGTTCACCATGGCCTCCAGTCTCCTTTGCTCATCAACATCCACGTTGAACTCCTGTTGTTCCAGACGCTCAGTATCTGGAAGGATCTCATTTTCACGCATCATCTCCTGTATCTGACAATACAGAAACCACAGTTTAGTTATACTGGTAGACTAAAGTTCATGAACATTTTTATAGCTGTGTGACTTCTTTTGTAATTGACCAAGTACCTTTAATTTAAGTACTTTGGCTAGATGGTTAAAACATTACTCTGAATGTAACTTGTCTGCTGAAATAATAGTCTTTTTCATAATGGACTTGAACTTCAAGCCAGGAGTATTTTGTATGTGTTTGTATGTGAATATGTGCTAGAAATAAATAAAACTGGAAAATAAAGGGGTAAAAAGATGTTTTTTACCACTTACTCGCTTCTTTAATCACTTTCAAAACAGTGATGACATCAGCTGATATTAGCGTGGCTTCATACGTTTTTTATATGTCTACTTTTTTTTATTTTTAAGTATTTATTTCTTCGTTTATTACCAGAGTTCCACATTCAGTTTTTAGCCTTTAGCTTTTGTGTGTTATGACATAGCAATACAGTGTTTTTTTGGAAAATATTTTCCCCTAATTTATAGTATGTGCATGCGTTTCCCTGGATGGTAACCTGCTGTGTACTACAGTGATAAGTCCTACTGAATTGAAAAGAACTTACTAAGCATGTTTAATGATAGAGTATTTGTACTTACATGCTTTGTGGGTTGTTTTGTCAGCAAGAACTGGGTGAGTTCTCAACAATGTGAGCAAGGATGATTATGTTTTCAAGAAAGTACTGAAAATAAAAAATATACATCATAAAAACTCACTGTGTCACGTAACTCTCTCATGGTTTTCCTCAGGTTTTTCTTTGTCTCAGAATATTGCTCATTTTCTTCCTTTATAACCTGTTATAATATATTCATTTTGAAAAGAAATAAGATATTAAGTCCAACAAAGTATTGACTCAGTATTAAAGTGTGTACAGCAACATCTTTCCAGGCTGAGCAAGTAAACCAGAAGGACAGTGATGAGTCATGATATATTTTAGCACATGGGGAAAAAATATTAAACGCTATTCAATACTTTATCAGTCGACATGATTCAACACTCAGGGAACATGTTGCAGCATAAAAGCAGGCTGGAAAGCACCTCTGACCATTTCCTGTGGGTGACTTGTGAGGTGTAAAATCCACAATTCAAAGACTGCCACACCTGCAGTATCAATTTCTTATAAAGAAGCTTTGTTGGGTGACAAAGTACTAAACATTTGGTTTCACAAACGCTTGTCTGATTCATAGCTCTTAACCACTTGCTAATTTGTTGATTTTTTTATATTATAAATCAAGGTATAGTGCAGAGAAACTGTGTGCCTAAAGCAACACAGCTGCTTTTTGAGCAAGATATCACACACAGGTGCAAAGGGCACTTTCACAATCCTCCACCTGCGATGTTGTAGAGACATGGCAGAAGTATCTAAACATAGTTCTCCAAATCCTATGCCTCCGCCACAAATATTATAGCATGTTAGTCACTGACCGCCTCTTGCCTGGTTTCCAGCCAGGTGGGGTGAGAATGTGAAGCAGACAGCAGACTGTTGTAACTCTCATCCTGTTCTGTCACATCCAGAGTTTCACTACTGACCTATAGAGTGTTAACAAAAAAGATTTTAAAAATGGCAGATAAAGATACGTAAAAGTATTTGCTCTGAAACAAGCTAAAATTTCAACCTAGTTAAGCAATGTATAAATCACTTTGCATGCACAATAAATGACATAATTGAAAAGCTATTACACCATATAATATTCAAAGCAGATTTATAGCACAGTGCCTTAATAAAGGAAAGAAAATGCTGATTCAGTTTTTACTATCTTAGTCTTAGGTAGATGTACCTAATAAACTGTATCTTCTGCATTTGCTGTGTGCTATTTGGTGTGTTGCGCATTTCAGTAGCCATAAAAAAAAAGTAACACAGTAATTATACTGTTATGTAGAAAAGAATATAACTTACCTCACCATCCTCTGGTTTTTCAGTGCAAGGAGGAAACCCTTGGCCCCACTCAGGCAAGTCAGTGAGGACGGGGTTCTCTCTACTGAATACGTTCTTCAAGAACTGAGTCATAGACTGGCTATACCAAGTAGCTTTGGTCTCTTCACCAGCATCCACATCTTTAATTCTGCTTGGTGCCATGGAAACCACATAGGACATGCAAAGTATAGAGAGCTGATATGAATTTCCTATAGAAGTCTAATGAGAGCCAGGTGATCCACACAGTGAAATAAATACATAAACAGACCATTTCTATATAATCTTTTAAAAACAATTCATGCTGCAGTTTCATGGAAATTAAGTTAATTGCAGAGTTGTTTCCCTCTGTCTTATGATTAAATTATTTTTAGATAGTAGATACTATATTTTGAAAAGGATAAAGGTGGCCTAAAACTGATTTTCCTAAACATTACTCAAACAGGAATAAATAGAGCATTTGTTGTGGTTAGCAGCAGGATAGTATATATGAGGCTGACTCAAGATAAACTACAGTGTTTTTGTCAATAATGATGAAGACAATGTTCACCCACTGTAACGGTGAGATTTATTTATGCGTTTTTTCCTCTGGACCTACCACTTCAGTGGTACTATGTACTACTGTCCCGCACTGACAGTGGTAAGAAAGGAAAATAGGTTTTACTGTACACTATAATCAAACTGTGTGAGAGTACATAACTACCGAGAGCAACAGTTCCCTCTACTGTTCACAGGCTGCTTGTTTTACCTGAGATTAGTGCACACAAGAGAGCCATCTTTAAAGCCAGTAGTGAGTAGTGTCTGGTCGTCTGCAGAGAAGGACACGCTCCGAACTCCACCGAGACGGCATGAATGACATTGCCGCTCAATGTAATGCTCCTGTAGGTGCAGCAATAGTACTGTACCTGACACTGCATACACAGCAAATATGATAAAAGTATTAACAAGGATAAGCTCCTACCATGGAAGCAGGCTTTCTAATGCATAGTAGACCATCTCTGCCTACTGAAGCCAGCCATAGCTGATGAGGAGACAGAACGAGAGAGACAGGGCCCAGAGGATGACTCTTCACCTCCTGCTCTGGTTCCAGCTGCATCACCTGTTGACTGGAGAGACCATCTGTATCCTGAAGGAAGAATCAGAGAATAACAATTTATATTTGCTTAAACAGAATAGGAACACACACCCTAGGCCACTGCTTATTTGAGAACTTGCTATGTTTTACAAAAGTTACAACAATACTTGAGATAAAGAGGATCTTAAGTTACTGTAGCAACACGCAGCAGCAAACCTGAGGAAGCTGAAATCGCTGAAGAGTTTTTCTCCTGTGGCAGTATGCAAAGACCTCACTGACCCCCAGAACACAGCAATTAAGTGGATGTGGCACTTTGTATGTGGACACTCTGAGGATGTGAGCAGACAGACGACCGTGCTGGTCTACACAATCTGGACCTGCAGGTCAGCACAGGCACATCATAATATGTAATAAGAAGTCAGAACTGCTACCACACCCTTGACTTAACATCTGCACTTTCCTCTCTAGACTTTAGGGTCCTTCTTGCTCAGCAAGTGTTTCAGGCTGCTGTATAAACTAAGGGTGTGTTTTTGAGAACTGCTCAGTCACTGTGATTTCTTTTCAACAGTGTTCACGACAACATATCTAAACACTGCTTTAGGACAATATCACTACGTGATCTTATGAATAATGTGTCATACATGAGACCCTCATCTTATGCCCCAGCAGTAAGTAATGAGCCACTGACCCAAATCTATGAGTAATGAGCCACTGGCCCTAATCTGTGATTAATGGCTCTTTCTCCTCTGGATGTGTACAAGATCATTTTTAAATGGCTTATGCTGTCAGTGCTGATTAATAAAAAAAAAAACATCTGACCAAGAGAATAAGTAGTGAATTAATCGAGTCTACCAGTGCTGTACCTGTAAGGTTCCTTGCAGGAAGGGTGAGCATTGTGAGCAGGCTACCCTCTTGATTCTTTCCCTCCTTCCCAGTGCACAGTGCAAGAACCTTCACCTGGTCAGAGTCCCTTGTGCACTGAATAGAAAGTGACACAATGGCTCCAGGAACAACTGGAGGAAAATGCCCAGTGACAAAAGGGTGTAGGTAAGTTTGATTTTGGTCTCTCTAAACATAAAATTACCAAATCTGTTGATCATTCCAACTTACACATTTTTTCTAAGCTAAAATGAACTTTGCATTTTTATGTTGTGTGGGTATCTACAGAGGAACAGTAACATGTTTAATGGATTAAGTGTTTTAAAAAGTATCTACCTGTATATCCTATGACTGAAAACCTCTTTGATGGCTTTGCATCTATTACAAAGATATGTGAATCTGAGCCACTGGTGAGAAGATAATGTCCCTCTGGGTCAAAACTGCAAACATAAACATACACATTTGTCACAATGCACACCCCCCCAAACCTAACACTCAACCATCACATCTAAATGCCTTACCCTAGCCCTCACCCTAACTGTGCTTTGCCTTTGGCCCTCCACCGTCGTTGGATGAAGTGGGGAGGGTCATCGTGAATTTTTCCTAACACTTAACCCAAGTCTTAACCCTCTAACAGGTGTGTGAGAAAATGAGGCCTAACCAAAATGATTAAAGTGTCTAAAACTGGTTCTCACAAACATATACAGTACAAGCCAAATAAATACAAGCACACACAAACACACAAAAGACAAACAGAATATTGCACGCATTTAAAAAAGCCTGTAACTATTTAATGTGACATTTTGTGTTTTCCTGACAAAAAGTATGAGAGCAGTTTTCCTCTCTGGGTTTTATTGGCTGATATAACTAAAGCCTCCACTTCATAAACAGATGATGATACAAGTCCAGTCTTAAACTGAAACTTTATGTTATCACAGAGATGGAGTATACTTGCACTAGGTGATCCACAGGAGTGTGGTAGAGATGAACCTGATGCACCAGGCGAGGCTGCTGCTTCCTGTTCACATCAACGAAAAGGACGTTTCCTGATGTTGTTCCAACAGCAGCATATTGCGCAATGGGACAGCAGGCTAGACTTGTTATCTACACAAACAAAGATTACAAGTTTATTTTTACTGAAATTTTAAGTGTTCACATGCTTAAAGATTATAAAAATGTGGCACATCAGATTTGTTCATATGTGGTGAAGCTGACCTCAGCTTGAAGAGACAATGAACTGAGGCAAATGCCATCCTCAGACAAGTGCAGCTCTCCAGAATCCCTCAGTGACTGCAACCAGCAGTGAAATCACAAAGACTGTTGCTCACTTAAGAGACATTAACCTAAATTACACATGACATTGTACCTCTTGAACAACAAAAATGTTTTACCACACAAATGTTCTTGTTAGTGGGCAACAAAGTTGCTGCCACAAAGTTGCCGCTGGGAACATCCATGACCTTCACAATCTCATCTGACTCAGTTGAGTTCAAAATATAGATCTGACCCTGAAGAACAAAAAAGCCTTTTATATTCTTACATTTTTTAATACTGTGTCTCTCAAATGTTATCATTTGATGGAATATCACGTGTTTTATGTACAATGGGTACATAAAACATATGACACATTTAAGTACTTACAGTATTAGAGGTTAAAAGTAATGAGTCATAGTCAGGGGAGAACATTGCAGTTGTGACAGCCCCTTCTAATTTCCGTGTTTTTGTGACATTGAGCTGTGTCCCTTTAATTTGAAGACAGTGCACCACACTCTCCTGTAAACCAAAAGCACAAGTGCTTTTAAGTTGAAGCAACTGACAATTCCTGATGACTAAGATTGCAATTCAGATCACAAATTGGCAGATGAATCAATGTATTGTCATTTATTAAATATTGAAGGTGTTACACTCAGTAAGCCAAGGTGTAACTGTAATAAATTCATGAGCTTGTACCTTGGTTACAGCAATCAAACCATCCTTGCTAAGGGCTAAACCTTGAAAGTTGCTCTGTCTGATTTCAGGGACACCATCAGAAGCTGAACAAAGGAGAAGCACAAGCAGGTGTCATCGTCTTTTCTATCGCCAAATGAAATAAGGCAATACTTATATAAAAGTGTAGAAATACTACCAGTGACTTTCTTAATATCTACCATATCTCAGTGTGCATGATTGTTTACCTTTGGGATTGATGAGGACTGAGACAGAGAGGCTCTCTGGATCAACAAGAAGGAGAAAGCCTTCCTCACAGCCCACATAAAGCTGTGATGTGGCTGTCCAGCAGATGGCGGTAGGAGTAAGTCTGGCTTTGGTGCAGAATTTAGTCTGTGTAAAGACATGTGGAGTTGGGTAATATAAGAAATTGGATCCCCAAAACAAACATATTGTTGGTGAAAGTGTATTTGCTTTGTTAGCATTAATGTAGATCTGATAGTGGTACAATACCGCACTGCTCTCTGTCTTGTCTCCCTTGAGCCCTGAGATGGCTGATGAAGCCATCTCTGGACCATAATAGGGCAGCTTATCACTGACAGTATAAGAAGTGTGCTCCAGTCTCTCAACAAATGATCCATCAGTTGCTGGAAGCTCTATCATGCTGCAATGCAAAAAATATGACGCACACATGCATAATATCATTTCACAATGTATCATCTCAGTTCTATATGTTTTTTCAGTCCCCATTGAAAGCAAAGAATACACACAGGTAATGTAGTTGAACTTATCAGTTAAAAGTATATAAAGTGACAGAAAACCTCAACCAGATTTTAACTACATGCTTGTACATCCAAGCCTGCTTTACCTTGGTTTCAGGACATGAAAGTTGGCACTCTTCTCAATATTCCAGACAGTGAGGAATGTAGTGCCCAAAGCACAAAGCTGCTGCCAATTCAATGGGTTGAAGACCAAAGAAATGACATCCTGCCCAGCTTGTGGTTGTGTACAAATTGGCTCAGCAGTTTCCCAGTTCCTGCATCATATAGTCATGGATACATAACAGAGCTGCTTAGCTTAATATATAGTGTTGGACATTAGTTTGCTTTATGTATTCTCATTTGCACTATGTGCTTTAATTTGTTTTATTTTAATGTGTACAAGGCTGATAAGGGTGATACAGGCAGAGGTGAGCAAGTCTGTTTGGACGGCTGCCCAGACTGAGCAAAGATGATGGCCTTGACAGCAGGCAGTGGGGGGTGATGTTATGTAAAGGGGGATTTTCTTTTTTGATGTCAATCATGTAACCTAGCCTTGAACCTGAAGGAGCCAGCATGACTTGCATCTGCCATGTGAGGTACACTTTGATCAGTGAAACAATAATAAAATATCCCTAAGTAGGTCAGAAAGAAAGGTGGGATGAAGCAAGCCACAAGCAAGGAGGAGCTATAGAGAGTATAAAAGGGATGTCTCGAGCTCTGTAGGCATTCTGCTCCATGAACTGGAAACAGATGTTATTGGGGGTGTTTTTGATTTCCCCCCAAGTAAATCGTATACTTTGCAACAGACTGTTTAGACTTGGAGTGCTTTCTGTCAGCAGGTAGAAAACTGTATGAATGAGAAATGGACCCTCACTGTGCCCAGGAAAAATTCTCCCACAGTAGCACATAGTATAAGGTAGTGTACTGCTTTCAGTGGCTTACCACACTGTTATGGTGTGGTCTGGAAGAGAGGAACAACAGCCCAAGTAAGGACCACCATCGCTTAATGTCAGATGCGTGTAGTCCAGTTGTGCTGTTCCTAGAAAATGAATCAGTGGTAACTATTTAGGATTTGCGTGAGAGAAAATACATATAGGAGGGATGCATATAATCAAATACATCCTACAGGATATTATTTCATGGCAGTTTTTTCTACATGATAAAAATAGCCTTTTAAAAAATTAAAAAGTCAACATTAATGTGCTTTGCCATGGTGTTACTTTGAGACATTTGAGAGAAAATAATACTTTACCTTTTAGTTCATTCTTTAGCTGAAGTTCAGGAAAAATGTACACAAATATAGATGGGAACAGTTTTTGCTCAGAGAAAGCAAAAATCTTACTGTTGCCACTGGCTGTCAAGGCACCAATGCCTCTGCAAGGACTCGGAAGAACACAACGCATTTTTGTCTCCAGATTCAGAAAACAGATATGAATTCCACATGTGTAACATACTGTTTTATTGTCCACAAATACGATAGTCTTGTTTGTAAAGCCTTGTATCCACCTGGAGGAAGTAATACAAAATGGCAAATATTACCCAGTTAGCTAGCTAACTGTTGTGGTGATGTAGACATGCGACATTTACTTTAACGTTGTATATAGAAGTGCTTAAAAAAAGTAGACAGGTATCCTTATGTTGTGGTGATGTAGACATGCGACATTTACTTTAACGTTGTATATAGACGTGCTTAAGAAAAAGTAGGCAGGTATCCTTGGAGCGGCCACATACCTTACTTCTAAGTTTCCAATGTCATTCATTTTAAAATGAGACTAGATAAAAGTTTACTTTTTCTCCTTTTCAAAAACACCACAAATAAACCAACAGGAGAATCTCTACGTAACCCTGGAAACCAAAGAACGCGTTAGAAACCACCCTTTTATACTAACCGGAAGTTATTTGTAGAAAGGACAGGCCATGTGACAGGTTCCACCAATTGAATTTGGGTTTGGAGGAGTTTAGACACAGAAACAGGATGTTATGTCACTACTTATCAAGCGGATTGGCTGATACCTTATTTGACACGCCCACACCAAACTTTAGGAATTTAGCCATAATAATATATAGCTTTGGATAGTAGTTCTCCCTCTTCCTTGTAGTTTCTTGACTGCCTTCGTCTCTGTCTATTCTTATACTGATACGATTCATCACGTGAAGGGTAAATATGTCTACTCAAAAGTGTTTCACCAAAGGTAAGATTTACAGCGATTACTTGACTAACTTTCAAGAAATCTTGTAGGCCCCTTAACACTGCTTCCTATTTACCAGTTAAGGCGAAAATTAAAGGAAACTGATGTTGAGCGACCCATTCTTCGTGTTTTGCACCACTTACTGTTATGAAAGCGTGTTAGTCATCCTAGTTAAACCATTTATGCTGTTTAGAACCCACTTTCAAACGTGGGAAACATTTTTATTATTTATTAACTAAAGAATTGCGATATACTACTAATAAATATAGTGAGTACAAAGTACAGTTTTTCTCTGAAATGTAGTTGAGTTGAAGTGGCAGTAATTGAAAATACTCAGGTAAAGTACAGATACCTCAAAACTGTACTAAAGTTGAGGAAATGTACTTAGTTACTTTCCACCTCTGCACAACGTTGCTGACATATACATTATTAACATGAGTAGACACCATTTTGCAAAGTCATGGTGAGTACACCTCTATACTGTATAATCTATCCTCTTCCATTAGTAAAGCAAACAATAGATACCAGGAGTGCTTAGTAAATAATTCAGTCCACTCCTTTTAAAATATGAGTAGCCTATTATCTGTAGCCTATCACAGTGATGGAAAGAGTCCTCAGTTTTACTTAAGTAGCAAATTGTAGCTAGTTAATTTTAATTAAAAGTCCTCTATTCAATATTTTACTTTAGTGTAACTTCAAAAGTAGCCATAAGACCTATAATTAATTATTGATGCATTGTTTCTGATGCTTATGAACTTTCAGTTCTAGTTGTGAAGCTCAATACATTTAAAAAAGTTACACTAACATAAGTACATGTAAATTATTTTCATGCATTAGCAAACATAAATCAGCATAATCTGCCAGTTTCACTGTCATGTAGAGAAATTGCTTTTTCTTTCAGGTAGTGCTGCACCCGGCCCAGTCCCCAAAGGCTCCATCAGGCTTTACAGTATGAGATTCTGCCCCTTCGCCCAGAGAACCAGATTAGTGCTGAATGCCAAAGGGATCAAGTAAAGACATACATTATTATTTTACTTTACTTTAAACCATAGCAGCACTAATAGGAGTCGCTGTAGATTAGGAGGGTTGGCTGTTTGATTCCTGTCTTCTCTAGCAGGCATGTCGAAGTCTCCTTAAGCAAGACAATGAACCCTTAGTTGCTCCCAGTGATATCACCGGTGTGTGAGCGTTTGCATGTGCGAATGCCTTAATGGGAAATAGTGTCAAGCTCTTTGAGTGCGCTTCAATGAATAGAAAAGTGCTATATATGACCATTTAATACCAAAACATGAGATTTCCGTCACTTGTATGGTCACTTAAATTTGCTGAGCCTGTTTTTGTCTTTCAGGCATGACATCATCAACATCGACCTGGCAAGCAAACCTGAGTGGTTCCTTATGAAGAATCCCCTGGGTCTCGTCCCAACACTGGAGACACCTGCTGGTGAGGTGATATATGAGTCTGCCATCACCTGTGAATATCTGGATGAAGCTTACCCTGAGAAGAAGCTGCTTCCTTCCTCTCCCTTTGCTAAAGCTCAACAGAAGATGTTGCTGGAGCATTTTTCCAAGGTATCGTATATGAAGACCTTCATCTAAATCTTGGGGTTTTGTTTGCATACTTGTCTACTGTTTGTGTCATCCAATAATCCTATTAATGCCACTTTTCTACAGGTGGTGCCGTACTTCTACAAGATCCCAGCTGGGAGAAATAAAGGTGAGGATGTCTCAGAACTGGAAGCTGAAATGAAAGAGAAGTTTGCCAAATTAAATGAGGTATGTGGCAAATGAGTGTCGCTGTTTAACACATTTACTAGAGGTGAAACATTTAAAATCAAAACTGTCCCTATAAATGAGTTTAAATGTAAAACAGCCAAAGATAAGAAGTGAATTCTTCTGTGTGTTCATCTTTAATGACTCTACCTCTCTTAAGTGTTTTAATCAGTGCTGATTAATATAATGTTTATTTCCCAGTTCCTGGTTAATAAAAAGACCAGGTTCTTTGGTGGTGACTCCATCACAATGATTGACTACTGGATGTGGCCATTCTTTGAAAGGCTGGAAGTCCTTGAACTGAATAAGTAAGTAATAATCTCTCAGGACACTTAAACATAAATACAGTTTATTTATGGAAGCATTTTAAGACACTCAAGGTTAATTAGAAAAGGGTAATAAGTATAAATATTAGGTACAGTCCAAAGTAAGACCTGTCCAACAAAGATCAGGAACAGAACATATTATAGTATTCTTTTTCATCTTTCCTTCATCAATTCAGATTTAATGAGGGTGACTTGTGTTCATGTTTCATCTTGTTCCGCCTTAGGTGAATGATCTCAGTTCCTTTGTCTTTGCAGCTGCCTTGTCAACTCATCTGAGCTGAAGAAGTGGAAAGACTGCATGTCGGAGGACCCAACTGTCAAAGCCACCACGCATAGTGTGGACACCTACAAGGGCTTCTACAAGACTTACACTGAGGGGAAAGCTGACTATGACTATGGCCTGTAGAAAATGAGCAGCCAAAATCTTAAACGGTCTACTCCATTCTTTAACACAGAACCCAGTTAGCATTTCTGCACTTCAGGTTCCCTTGGTCAAAAATTGATTTTTGATGGGTTTTTGGTTAGATGCCTGAAATAAGGTAATATTCATGTTTTTGATCCTAGTTATTTTGGAGTTGTGTGTGTTAATCAAACGTTGATATAATAGAAACTATTTATATTTCAGCAAAATCAAGATTCTTTACTATTTCTATGATACATTTGATAAGGGAATTTTTTTTTACTTATTTGACATTTAAGACATGTTTTGTTATGAGGGGAAATAAATATCACTTTACTGGGAATGGGGTACAGTCCTATGACGGCAGCTGATTCATCTTAAAGTGGTTTTTTTTATATAAAATGTAGATGTACTTGAACTGAATGAGAATTTTCTGTATTGCAATAAACAAAAACTACAATATATTTTAGTCCCAGTCTACAATGGGTGGTCCAATTTAATAAGGTGGAGCTCTACCAAAGATCTGACATCAACACAGTGGAAATATAACAGGCATAATTAAGTTTCACTCTATTAAAAAGCATTACAAACTGACAATATAAACAAAAACAATACACTTTATAGCTGCCCTTTCATTTGTAACAATATGTATGAAACAAAAGTGCTATACTGTAACTGAGTCCAGTTTAGACCTGCACAATCTGAGAGGTATTTCTGTTAAAATATTTTCTAAAACTACAAAAGGGATTAGACTTTTTTGGGGGGTGAATGGTGAATTGCATTTCTAAAATTGTTACCCTTCATGTAAATTGGAGCTGCTTCTTTTAGAGGCAGAGGGATATCTCCTAAACACCTCTCCTCTTGGTTCCACTGCTAATAAAAGCAATATGTCTTCTAAGCTTCACAGTCCCACCTGATGAGTTTATTAAAAATGACTACACTACTCTATGGCTAGATTTTACAAACCCACTGGTGAGATACTGAAAAAATATAATGTATTAGCTTGAGGCCATATTCTAAATTCATTAGTTACTTTGTCAAGTGAAAAAGAAGCAGCTACACCAAAACCACTACCTGTCTATTATAAAACTGAAATAACTGTTGGTTGTGCACCTTCTAAAAGTAACATTTATTCTAGTAACACTGAATGTTATTTAAAAGATGTGCTAGTGCTAAAAGTCTTGCACTGAACATGTCTGGTGCTCACAAGCTTTCATCTAGCTGTGGTGTAGGCCGCCATTTGATAAGTGAGGTGTGTACTCTTGTATGAGCACAGATGCATTTCTCAACATTTCCTGGCAATGCTTTACTGTTGCTGCATAAAGGTCTGTCTGCAACACCAGAGGCCTGAACAGATTGATGGGCTCTGCTTTGCGAATTATCTCAGGGAGCAGCACTTCTCGAGGGACTTTAGGGTTTCCAACTAGAACGTGATGAAGTCTCTTCTCCTGAAGGGTCCTCTGCAAGAAGCCAAATACATCCCGAAGCCTGTGCTCCATACTCTCCATGCCCCACGCAGAAGGCCTTTTACTCAGCAACAGGTGCAGCAGAGCAGTCTTTAAGTGGTAGTTAGTAAGGGCACTTTTTCCTGTGAGCCCTGTCTGCTTTCTGTGTAGGAAAGTAACAATCTGAAGGCAGTGTAAATGACAGGAATTCTGTGGCAGGCGTTTAGCAAAGTGTTTCAGCAAATTCCTCTCATACACAGCAAATGAGAGGGGCCAGTATGTGTCTGGAGAGCTGTCACAATCTGATGGAAAGTGGGAAACAAAATAAGCATCTGTATCCTCCAGCTGAACCACCGGTATGATGTTCATTACAATGATTTTCCCTGAACGAAATCGAATCTTCAAAGCGCCAGCTGCATCGAGGTTGCGAAAAGTGACCTCGAAGTCATATTTGTGAGAGATGCGTCCCCATGCTTTGGTTACAGAGATCTGAAACCACTTCATAACTTGATCTTTAGCCAAGAAAGGTGTGTTCCTGGAGCACAGCAGTTCCTCGGGACTGTGGTCCGCTCTGAGCGTGTCACCATTTCTGCTATGCAACAGACAGAGCATGTCCTCACCCAGGTTAGCAGAGCCACAGAGACAGCCCTCCTCATTTTCTCCCAACTTGGTCACCTTTATCTTGCCACAGCCCTGCATGTGGGGAGGCATGTCCCTGGAGGGGCTGCACCACAGGTGGAACTTGAAGGAGTATGGATCTGGAGGTGAGAAAGGAACCATAAGGTCGCATATCAGAGGCTTGCAAACCTTCCAAGACTCAAACATGCTTCCGACGCCAACAAAATCCCCGACTTCCATGTCTGTGTCCCTGTCACATACGCTTCTGAGTGATTCCAACAAGTCATCAGCAAAACCCTCGACAAACTCCCTAACCCTCCAGTTTTCACGGGCTGAAGTGTAGGTGCATTTGTCACAAAAGTTGCTCAGGACATCCTTATTTAGTACCATTGTCCTGGGAGAAATGGATCCACTCTCTGAAAAGATGTCCTCATCCTCAGCTGGCCGGTTTTCGCTGTCAACAAGATCCACCCTGCCCATCTCAATAAATACAAATACGATGAAAGAGACGGTGCTCCAGAAGTACCAACTATAACCTTCCTCAGAGCTGGTCTCTTCCTGCTTTGAGTCCAGCTGTGAAAGCTCTCTCTCCAGCTTGACCTGCTCCACTTGCAGCCTCTCCTCATGCTCCCGCATGCGAGCAATCAGCTCCTCGTCCTGGTCTGGAAGTGTGGTGTTCTCTTGGGGGAACAGCACGGGATGGTTTAATATGACAGCAGCCACCACCACACACATTCTGGCAATGGTCGCCTGCATCTTCAGCTGGTTTCTAGCGTACACATTTAAATACGTCGTCTGCAGATGTCTGGGCAGCTGCAGCTCAGATCCTGAAACAAAAACATAAATAATGGTTTTACTGGCAAGACAAAAGGTAGCACTGCTGTACACAATAAAATGTATGAAAATGAATGAAAAAAGTCCAGTTATTTTTGTGAAGCACTTCACCCACCAGGGGGAAGCACAGAGTGCATCTCTAAATATAGAGCCAGTGGGCTGAATGAGGCACTCGTCCAGTATCAAACTGTTACCAACTTTGTGCCTCTTAACATTTACAGCCTGATAATATTTTATCCTAAATAAAATGAATGACCTCCCTTTTCTATGCAATTCATTTTCTGAGCAACACAATGTGGAAAACACTCACACTGACTTTATTATCTTCCTTCCTGAACGTCATCAGATAACCGACAAGTAATGCAACATACTGTACAGAAGAGGAAATTACACAAGTGTCTTGCTTATGTTTCAAGTTTAAGTTCAAGTAGAATTTAAAGAGACGACGACACATTTTTATAATGCTCTGGTGAGGATGGACTGAATTACCTTAATACTGTCACTGTAATCTCTAAGATAAAAGCATATAATGTGCTTGAAATGACACTTCCTCTGGAAAATAAGACAAGAAAAAGGAAGTATGCACGCATCATGATCTCACCGTAACATCATGAGATTATGAAGTGTTCTGTCAAATTTGAGCTTTAAAATGAGAGCAGTAATGGTGAGCATGTGAGGCCAGAGAGCCAGGGAATCTTCCCATGACTTACTCACTAGGATGCTTTCCAAAACTTACATGGCTCAGTCCATCCAAACAAACAGAGGCGGTTTTGCTGTTACGGCTTAACTTGGTCCGGTAGAACTGGTAACTTATCGCAGCTAATGTTAGTAGCAAGGCTTTACTTTAAGGCCTATCTTTTGCATTTATATGCAATATATAAACATACAACACACACACATTACAATGTAGAAGAAGAGGATATGAAGACATTTATTAATGTACAGCATTTGTCCATTTAGGGTTAAGCATTTACCACTGTCTTCCATTTGTTACTGTTCAACAAAAGTTACATTAAGTACCAAGACCACTATGTAAAAACTCTGGTGTGAGTAAAACACGACTAAAGCTAAATACATAAATATCAATAATAGTTATTATTATTTACTGACACAGACGCAGCATGTTGCAGCTGGTCAAGTTGTAGATAAACTTATTTTCTTACAGTGTATAGATAAGGATTCAATAAGAAACTGACAGATGAATCAATAATGAGAATCCTCATTAGTTGCAGCCCTTTTTTTTATAGCCTAATAGAATATTCATCTAATTTATAAAAGCTAATCACACATCATTTTATAGGAAACATCCCACAGCTGTCTGAGAAATAAGGTGCAATAAAAAAACATAGTACTTTCCTCTAAAACTAAACAGTATTTTCATAAAGTAGTTAAGAACATAAGTAAATGTGATGTGACCGCATCATCCCGCGCCCAGAAAGCTGCGTGTTCGGAAAATCGTAGTGAGTGAATTACTTCACTGTGACACTGTTGTGTGTTTGGAAAGTGATGTAGTTGGACACATTACCAGCGGGCACCTCCTCAGTTGTCCTAGAAACAAAACAGTGACCCCAGTGGTCACGGAAACGTGGCTGCAAACACTTTATTCCAGACACATGAGTCACGCACAGCCTCCTGTCTAACGCACGATGCTCTGTGAGATGCTGTGCGGGGCTTTAAGCAAAAACGGCGCAACCGATGAATTCCCGAAAACTGAAGTAACAGCAGCGTAATTGCGCAATTTGGCCAACACAGGCTACAGTAAGTAAATGTTCTCTGTCGAGTTTAGGGATGTCACATGAGAAGACATGCGCTGTAAGAAGTTGGTGAACCTACCTCCGGTGAAAGCGGCCGCATCCTCAAACCATGGGCGTGTTAAGCGAGAACAACCCGAGGTGAACAACCAGCGTGAGGATCAGTTAGTTTCACAGCTCTTTCTATTTTTTTGGTGACACATTTCCTGGCCGTGCGCTCCACCCACAAAGACGGAGCACGCCCAGCTTCCTGTGCTCAGCAGCAGGGTTTCGCTTTCACGATGAAAATAGCACAGACAGTGTGCACAGTTCAAATGTTTTGTCATTCAGAATTAAAAAAAAAAGATCTTAAACCAGTCAGAATAACATGAGAGTGTGTTTAAAGATAAAGGGAGACCTTAGTGTGACTTAGGTATGAGAAAACCTTCTAATGTTGTAGATAAGGCTGAAAAACCCAAACAAAATTCTACTGATATTTAAATGGATGTTGATAAAATAATAATAATAATAATAATAATAATAGCCTACCACCATTAATCAGCGATTGTCTATACAGTATTGTCAACTGTTTCAAACCAAGTTGGACATAGATCAGGTGGCGCCATAATGCCTCTGTGTTCTCAAACAGCAATGCACCTTAAACCTTTCTCATAATTATGAGGTCAGTATCTTGGAATTAAACTATTATTTCATCCTGATCTTACATTTGTGCATATTCTCCTTCTAAACTGTAAAAGATGCCGACTCCATTTTTTTCCAAATATAATCTTTCCACTTTCAGCAGCCTTGAGGCCTATTTGTGATTTGTGGCATTTTAAGTCTGTTGGTTTATACTACAAATAATATTTGCCTTGGCTTCCAGTTAACAGGATGTGACTTGCTCTCATGTATTATGTCAATCATTCAAACATTGTGTATAACATGTGGTTTTGTAACTTTGAAATGCATTTTGATGCTCGTCACGATCCAGTTGTGTTTCTGTTTCCAGCTCGTGTTCTCCCAGCTCTGATCCTACTGGACTTCCCTACAGACCGTCACTCCACCCCGAGGTGAGGGGAAGTATCCAGGAAATGAATGTAAGTAAAGTTTCCCATGAGGAATGAAAACAGACGTGTGTGTCTGTGTGTGCATGTTTCATTGGCAAACAATGCTAGCTACCCATAATCTACTAAATGTGGACATTGGTTTAGTTTATTTCAAAGGTTTTGTAGACACTTCAAAAAGCAGTTTCTTCTGTGATATAGGAGCTTGTGAAATCCTGAATGTAAGAGCTCCTCTTCTATTTGATTTCATATTAAGTTATCATATTAGCTGATGATGATGAAAACGGAAAAAAATCAAAAGCCATAAAGTTAAAAAACTATATGAATCACAGGTTATGAATCTTGGAAATGGCACCAAATATAAAATATCAACCCTGACAGTAAACAACAGGTGGTTCTACTGTTATCAGACAATGGTAACTTCAGCAACCGCAGTGTCTGTAACAATCCACCAGATGGCGCTTTATGCCTGAACAAAGCCAGAACGCACACAGTAAGATGCACAGACTGAGCTCGACTAATTTCTTTTAACAGGCTATTCAAGAACCTGAGCAACAGTCAGAACATTGGCCTTTAAAAGCAGAAATTCACTGAATTACAGACATAAAACACATTGTCATATTCAGTGACAAGTACTGTTGCAGCAGCACAGTACGTGGCTTAATTAAATTTCTAATGAAAACAAATGGTTTCATTATAAAAACACCCCCCATCCATCCACTCACCCAGTGACACACACACACATCAGGGAAATACTTTATAAGGATGTTGCATAATGGCACTAATGCTACTGTTCTCCATTCTTCAAAGTCATCCCAGTCTGACTTGTCTGCAGCGATGAAAAGCTCAGAGGCCACAGAGAAGCTTTTCCTGCAGATTGTTTGGGACTGGTTAAGAGAATGGCAGATCCTCCGATCCCCGTTTTTTCCAGTTTTATTCTCTCTCACTGTTTACCTGAGTTGCTGTTTGCCTTACATCTTTTTGGATTTGCTCTGCTCAAGACTGATCCTTATACGTCGCTTCAGGATCCAGCCTCAAAACCAAGTGACATGGACGAAGGCTTGGAGGTGCTTGTGCAAATGTCTTCACAACCATGTCTCTTTCATTCTCCCCCTTTCTGTTGTGCACTGGTACTGGAGACCTGTGGTTTGTCCTCCACTGGCACCGGAGATGCAATCTGTGATTCAGGACGTGCTGGTCTGCCTCCTCCTGTTTGACACGCAGTACTTTTTGTGGCATTTGCTGCATCACAAGGTGCCCTGGCTCTACCGTTTCTTCCACAAGGAGCACCACCTCTACACTGCCACTTTCTCCCTGACGGCAGAACACACAGGTGTCTGGGAGATGCTGAGCCTCGGCTTCTTCGCAAAGCTGAACCCCATGCTCCTGGGCTGCCATCCACTCACTGAGATGTTATTCTTTGTCACTAACATTTATCTGTCTGTGGAGGCTCACTCGGGCTATGAATTTCCATGGTCTCCACATAGACTGGTGCCTTTTGGCCTCTATGGAGGAGCTCGGTATCATCACCTCCACCACTTTAAAGTCAAAGTGAACTACGCACCTTACTTCACACACTGGGACAGACTCTTTTACACGCTGCAGGAAGACGACATAGAGGACATCAAATGACAGAGAGCACATGATTGTCAGTAGAGCAGTGGATTACGCTGCAAGAGTGGCTCGAAGTCACGATTAGAATTCATTTAACTGAGCTGACCACAGCATTCATTTAGCATAACGAAGAATATTTAAAATTATTACATGTATAACTTTCAAAATCATACGTTGTTGCCATTTTAATTCTTGTTTTTTCTAACTACTTTACTGCCACTGACCGAAAAGTAACCTAGCTGTCAAATAATGAAAGTAGAGTTTAACAAGAAATATGTTTTATACCTTTCCTTTAATCTCTAATCAGTTGGTTCAAAAAAATAGAAACCCTTATTTTTTTTTCCTTTGAATCATTCAGATGATAAAGTAAGTGTAAAACTATTTGTCAGCTCCATTTTATTTGTGTGCACATGGGTGAAATGCCATATCCAATTGTTATATAATAAGATAAATAGATACACATACAAATATAAAAATATTGTAAGTGCAGTCACTGAAAAGGAGATCACCCCACAGATGCACAGATGATGATGTGGAAATAACAACAGTGATGTCTCAAACAAAACGAGTCCACAAAATCATCCGAATACTAATTTAAAACTATTTATGCTGGAAGCTGTTTACAGATACCAACACTCGACTGTCAGCCCCGTCTTAG